TATACAAAATATCAAACCAAGTTAGCAAACAAATGATGCTATATTTTCACTAATGTTTGGCATCTTTTGTATTCAACATATATTTTGTTTTATCATTTTCAAACCTTTTTTTTTTTTGGAAAACATTTTGTTAGAAGTGTTTTGCTACTATATTTCCATAAATGCACTAATGTAACAATTATGTAACAATAATGACAAATTGTGTATCTTAAGTGTCCAAATACCTTTTGTGGAAAATGTATTTCCGTGTTCAGATATTTCAGTTTTTTTTTGTTTGTTTTTTCTCAAGCATAAAACAATTTTACACTTGAATTAAAATAATTTGTTGTTGCAGTGCCTTTGAAAAAAACAACATAAAATAAAAATACAATGTAGGGTTTATGATTAAGGTTCTGCATATTGGGTAATATCTGCAAGTATAATGACAAAATAATTCCATAAAATCAGTCATATCTCTACAATATGATAGAACTGTGTAAAGCAGCTGTGCTAAAATAAAATATGCTAAAAGTAGGAAACAAGTCTTTTCTGATGACACTGCAGCTTTATGGTGCAAAAACACTTATATTCCAGAAATAGCCTTTATTTAATAATTAATGCAAATAAGAAGTGAAGTCAGGGCAAGAAGCAAATGTGGAAAAGCCTGAAGCCAGAGATATTTTCAGACTGAACTACATATGGCAGATTAATAAATGCAATCAATCAGATATTGATCTACTATATATTACTATTGTATTACTGATAATTTGATAGTACCTCAAAGCTAAAAGCTTTAAAATAAACACAAAGAAACACACCTGTATGTCCAAAACATGTATGGTGTTACATTTGTTACCTACTGTTCTGCTGTTCAAATAATAATCTTTCACAATAACGATAAACACTCACTGTAAAGCAAAACGATGGCAAACACCCCTGTAAATGTTTCTGGGGTTTCTACAGCTGATAAAAACATCACAATAATCCACAAGTAATCCTCACCACACCAGTCCATCAATTAATATCTTGTAAAGCAAAAAGCTGCTGTGTTTCTAAGAAACAAATGCTGTTGCTTGTAAACAGTGCTTGATTTGTGCATATTTCTCTCTTGACTCAGACAAGATGACTTTCTTAAAGGAGAAAGCAATATTTTGAATAGTGGACTTATATTTTGCCCAGAAGCAGTTTAAAGTGAAAACGTCTTATTGATGGATTTGTTTCTTACAAACACAAAGCTTTTCGCTTCACAAGATGTTAACTGATGGACTGGAGTGATGTGGATTACTTGTGGATTATTGTGATGTTTTTATCAGCTGTTTGGACTCTCATTCTGACGGCACCCATTCACTGCAGAGGAGTATGAACTACATATAATATGTAACACATGATTATTAGCCTTTCCTTTCTGGCACAGACACTAAGGTCAACATGGAAACTGATAAATATAGATATTTTATGTTCTGTAATCTATTTCAAATAAATCTAGCATATGTTGTAGAGGACAGAAGCGAGAGAGAGAGTGTGTGTTTTGTCATAATAATGCTCTCAGCTCTGGGAGGGGTGTGTGTGTGTGATAACAGGCCTGAGTCAGACCGCTGCTACCTGTCAGCTGCGCTTCAACAGCACTCCAACACAAAGCCACAGACAAAACACTGCTATCTTACTGAACAAGACAAAAGCATAAGCACAACAGAAGAAATGAACTCACCCAGTCTACACTCATGGTCCATTAAATGAATAGTGCTCAACACGACACTGAATTATGAGAGCTCACAGACAGCATGTCTGAAACAAGAGTTACAACTCTAAAAATATCTGTTCATTTAACTCACAGCAAAATTCAAGGCCACAAATCTTTGAGGGCTTCTGTAATTACAAGAAGCTACTGTAAATTAAAAGCCCATTTCTGTCAGTGGGTAGTTTACTTTATATCTCATGCAGTGTGACATGTGATTCATTTAAACTATTTGAACTAAAATTATTTTGAAATTCTTGTGTAATTTTATGTATTCTGCTTTTACGGGCTTTTATCAGGGATGGGTCACACTTTTCCATAGGCGCTTAGAGAGGGTGACTAGTTTATCCAGACTTTCAAAAGGTTTCAGGAGAAGTTTTGATAGTGCAAAAGTGTTTAAAGCTTTTAGAGCAATCAACCTGCTAATGAATTACTTGGCTAAATATTAAGCTGGAATATGAAAAAGTGTTTAACATTAACAATTGTTTGTTGGATTGTAGGATTTTCTAGTAAATTTCACAAATAACTACAAAGATTCAATGTGAAATTTTGAAGTAGAAAGACTGAAATAGTATTTTCTTGCAAACCCTACTCCAATAATCTTTATTTACAACTACATTGCATGACGTTTAAATTAAATCAAAATATACATTTTCCCTAAACATATAATTGTTTAACCTAAACTCCTGATGCTGAATATTACGAATTAATAATAATGTCCCTATTATATCAACTTTGAGAGCAGTACTGCACATTATATATTAGTGAGTATATTAAAAAATAAATATAAACATAAACGATAAATATAAAATGAATATATATATATATATATATATATATATATATATAGTAATGTATTATATTGTTTATATAGATCTTTTATATTTATATACAATAAACAAGATATATAAAAAAAATATATATATATATATATATATATATATATAGTAATGTAATTATATAATAAATATCTTTTATCACTTAGAAATACATTAATAAGCTAATTTATGTGTTCTGTGCACTGCAGTAAAATCCAGAGTTTTTTTCCAGTGCCTGTCTTCTTTTAAAATTAGAAACAAAAATGTCTAAACCAAAGGAACTCAGAAAAGAAAGTTAGCTTTCTTGGCATATTAAGGTTAACGAAAGGAAAGCAATCATTTAAACAGAGTAACAGACATTAGATCTGCTTCCTGAATTTCTTAAACATATTTCTGTAATGATGAGAGCATACTAATAATAAAAAAAAACAGATAAACGGTCTTCAGCCAAGAAAAATCTTTCATAAGAACAACTAATGAAGCAATGATATTTCACATATTACTCATATTGCACTCATGAACGTGTGCCAATTAATGTTGTGATATTAGTCATTTAATAGGGTTGAAGTCTCTTGCCATATTTCTCTGGCAATTCAGAAAGTACGTCACAATAAATCATCATGAAAAGTCGTGACGAAATATTATTCATGTTCCCTGCCATCATAATACACGTTTATTTCAAATAAGATGTGTTTCCTGTTAACCTCTATAAACCTTCAAAGAGCTTTAAGATTCTCCTCACAATATAATCAAACGTGATGGACATTCACCATTTAGCTGTGTAACCCCTCTCTCCCGGGTCCTCTCCGCTACACCTCGTTCTCGCTCCGAGTGGGTCTCGAACCCGGGTCTCCAGCATGGGAGGCGGCGCACTAACAAGGAGGCTAAAGACTGCAGCCACTAGCGATAGTCGCTAGTGCGTCTCTTAAGATCAGGGGAGTGAGGTTTACCTGCACAGCACCTACTCGCTGGCCTCCGTTACACTCACCCCCCCTAAACCTCACTCCCATCCGGGTCACGGCACCAATGTAACCCCTCTCTCCAGGGTTACCTGCACAGCACCTACTCGCTGGCCTCCGTTACACCTGCTTCTCTGCTACACTGCCTTACCACAAACACCTATTCATAACCAAAGATCAAAATAATGTCCAGGGATTCATGACAATAATGTCAGTCCAATAGTTCTGACACATGATTAATATAACTACGAGCATAAATAAAGACACAGATGACTGCATACTTGAAAGCACAGTTTCCTTCCATATACACTGACCGCAGAAAGTATTTGGACTCACTGACTGAATGCGACTACATTACGCACAAAATATATTTGGTTTAATATTTTGTAATGAATTAATCTAATGGAATGCATTCTAAGTGTAATTCTTAAGTGCCCAAATCGTTGACATCTATATATGATCTCTTAATACTAGATTAGTGGTCAAAATACATTTTTGGAGCCAAATTATTATTGTTAAATCCTCATAAACCAATTTCTTTTTAATGACAATGGTGTCTAATACCAAGTCACCAAGTAGTAATGCAGTAAATGATTTTTTTTTTTTGGCCTGAATATCAATATGATAATGCAGTCTTGGGAATGAATGAAAACAGATTCTTAGATGTCATTCTCATTAATTTATCCTAAATATACAGTCAGCACATAAAGTAGTAGCCATAGAAACTGTTAAATAAAGCTTTAGGCGCTCAATTTGCACCACTTATGTTTCATAATAATGTGGTATGAAGCAGAACAGCGGGGTTGAGGTTGTGTGTTTGTGACGAGGACCCCTGTGTGGCCTTCACTCACACACACACACACACACACACACACACACACACACACACAGAGCCTCCAATTACCCACGTAATTCTTTCCATCCCTCCTCGGCAAACAACAGCGAATTAACGACAACCCTGAGAAACACATATACCATCTCATATATAGGACCGGAATTACAGAAATAACGCAAACATTAGGAGCTACTCGTGTGTTTACGTAGCTACAAGAGCGCTAGCTTTAACTGGAGCGGAACCAGCGCGGGCCGTGTCTCAAATCCTAGCGAGCTCACTATGACATAGACGGCTTCTCGCAGGGTTCCAAACGACGTCTGTAGGATATACGTTGCCTGTCTAGGCAGCTCGCTACGTTTTAAGCCACAGCCACGGTCATGATGCACAAACACCATTATTATTTACATTCTATATTAACGCTTTAAACGCGTTTGTCTGCAATAAGATTTAGCCAATCGGGTCTAAAGCATTTTATACATGTACTCACTGTATATAAATCTAAGAGCCATATAAAGCTCGCGTTTCTGTTATAATAACAGTTATAAATGAAGAATGGATGCTGTTTTCATGATAAACAGCGCGAACCAATTAAACGACTCCAGCAGCAGCGTAACGTTATGCGAAGATGCTTAAGTTAAATGAATGGCAGTAGATGAAGCAGGCCTGTTGTTTACCTCTAAGGACAGTTGAATGAGGGCAGCGCTCCGGTGAGCCCCTGTGCTCCGGAGGAGAGCGCCTCTGCCGCGGGATCAGCGAACCGCTTCCTGCCGGGCTGCCGGGACTGGAGCTGCGGTGCTGGGCTGATGCTGTCGGTTCGGTGTTGCTTCCGACTGAGATGGAGGAGGAGGATGAGGAGGAGGAGGAGGACGAGCGTCGGGCTGCCGGGACTGGAGCTGCTGTGCTGGGCTGATGCTGTCGGTTCTGTGTTGCTTCCGACTGAGATGGAGGAGGAGGAGGAGGAGGAGGACGCGGGAGGGCGGGTCAGGCTGTGCTGCTGATTTCCACGCAGGAGCTGGTAGGGCACCGTGGCGCGAATGGGCTGCAACCGGCTCGTGTTGCCGGCGGAGGATGAGGACGATGATGCTAAAGAGGAGGAGGAAGAGGAGGCGTTGATGGGGGACCCGTCACTGCTGCGCCTGACCCGAGCTGAGTGCACAGGTGATGCTGACATGACTGAACCTAACTATGTGGTAGTTTCACTGCAAAATACGCGAATAAATTCCTCCCCAGGCATTCATTAACTTAAGTCATTAATTAAACTTCTTTAACAGTTACAATGTTGGCGTCGTGCGCAGCTTCGGTTTGTCGGTTAGTGCGCTGAGTTTGTAGCAATGTAGTTTCCCTGAACGACGTTTTGCTCCTTTACTCATGCAGAAGTTTGTTTGACGCTGACTAGTCTTTCAAATGTGTCAGGAGGAGTTCATCCGAGTCTGGAAACCTAAACAAAAAAGTTGACGCTTATCCCGACTGTCGTGTGTCTCAGCACCCCTCTTTAGCCTGGTGTTACTCCAAATGACACTGTCATTACGACAGGCACTCCAGCTGCGCAGTCACTGAGACGCGTGGGCGGGAGCGTCCGGCGCTCTTACGGCCTCTGATTGGTGCATCGCATGAACGAACTAAAACATGATTGGTCTGGCGAAAATGATGGACTTAGAGAGAGCTAATGGATTCATTGTGGTTTAGAACGTTTGGGATTCTGCCTTGCTATTGGTTGGGATTGTAAACTGACTGACTAATCTGAAGGTGCAAACATTAGTACTAGATAATAACACAGATGGTCAGTGTAACGGACTTAACTGTAAGCAATGCAAAAAGCGTGAGAAGACATTTAAGAGAGGCCGGGGCTAGTTGTCACACGTGTTGTATCTCAAACTATAACGTTTTAAGTAAAACAGTATACTAGAAATGTGTTTCTCTGTCAGTGGTTTTTATATGTTGGTTTCAACCATGTAGAAAAATGTTTTTCATACAGCTACTGGGCAAACAATGAACCACATTGACACATTTAGACAAGGGTCAACTTACAATTTTAACTCAAGCTGTCAGGATAAAAATGTCAGGCTGGGGCAAGTTGTCACGTTTTAAATTTAGATTTGATAATTTGGTTAACCTTTGCATTTGTGACCCTGGACCACAAAACCAGTCATAAGGGTCCATTTTTTTTAAATTGAGATTTATACATCATCTGAAAGCTGAATAAATAAGCTTTCGATTGATGTATGGATTGTTAAATATGACAATATTTGGCTCAGATACAACTATTTGAAAATCTGGCATCTGAGGGTGCAAAAAATGTAAATATTGAGAAAATCGCCTTTAAAATTGTCCAAATTAAGCTCTTAGCAATGCATATTACTAATCAAAAATTAAGTTTTGATATATTTACCGTAGGAAATTTACAAAATATCTTCATGGAACATGATCTGTACTTAATATCCTAATGATTTTTGGCATAAAAGAAAATTCGATAATTTTGACCCATACAATGTATTGTTGGCTATTGCTACAAATATACCCCTGCTACTTAAGACTGGTTTTGTGCTCCAGGGTCACGTTTTTGCTTTTTATGTACTTTGTAGGAAATCTGTGATACATCCTTAGATGTGCTGAATAATATTTACTAATTATGAATATACAAAACAGCAAACTGCAACAAAACAATGTTATCAAATAAGATTTTAATGAAACAACATCATATTACATGCTCAGAATTTAAACATCATGTGGGATCAGAAACAATGATGAATTCTGTTCCAGATATGAATCAATAAGGAATCCAACAAAGGAGTTAAGGTGATTAAATTATTTTACAGACATTTTTATAGAGCAAACACAACTTTGATTACTTCAGTACAATGTTTTGAAAAGGATAGGTCAGTCAGATACATTAGGAGGAAGCTTGGATAAAATAACCATGTCCGAAAGACAGACAAATCAAAACACAGACTAATAAAATATGTTTTTTTTTAAGTGAGATATGAAATGGTATCAAGTAAATAAACTAAACTGCTATCAAGTAAAGTACAGAGGATGTAAAGGAGAAACAGCTAAACTCCTGAGTGCATTGTGTAAATAGCAGCACGCACGATGATAAAACCCATCCAATTAACTGAAATTCAGATGAAAGAAAAACAAGAAAAAACAGCTCAACAACTGTGTGGCCTATCCAAACAGAACAGTAAATCCTACTAAAACCCATGTGCATGTTTTTGCAATCAAACTTAAACAGAATACATATCTGCCTCCCAAAATGGGGTGTGTCATGTTTAGGCAGAACTTCAAAACATCATGCATTAAAGCCAAACAACACCAGTCGAGGTATGCATATTCACACAAACAGAAGACAAAAGCATTCTTTTATGAACAAAGAGATATGATATCGGCCTATTTATAAAAAGCCCTTCAATGTGTTTCGTGATTTTAAGTGCAATCCATTCATAAGGAACTTAAAGTGATGTGCGTAATTTTTGTGATGTAAAAATACTTCATATCCCAGCATTATATGCAGAGACAACTACAAGTAAGCAATATTCTATCCTGATTCCCCTTAAAAGTGCAAAACACTAGTCAGTATCAGGACATTGTTCTGTTTGCACATCCCAACCAGCCATCTGACTCAACCAATAGCAACCGTTTAGGGCGGGACTATCTGTTTGACTGACCAATAGCAGACAGGGAGTGTTTTTTTCGCCTTTAAGGTTTATAGGTACTAAAAGTAGAGTTACAGTAAATAGTGGACTAGCCAAAAGGCCATTACGATTGCCATTTTTAATATACATTTTTTTAAATATAATTTGTATTTGAATAAAATACTTCTATTACTGAATTATTTATTTTACATATGTTTAAAGATCACTGAGAGATAGATTACTATAAAATACATTTCCTATGTATCATGACTGTTTTCAGTCAATGATCTTAAAACCGATTCCATAAATTACAGTGAGTTTTTGCAGAAGTAAGAAAAAACTAAGGAAGGCCAACACAGACAGTGACGTCTGAAACATCAAACAGCCCAAAGCAACTACTAAGAAACAGAGCAGTTTCAAAACAACCCTATTTCAGTTCAGCATATCATTTTATGCTACCAGGACCCCAACAGAGTTGAAATGCAAAATTGCACAGATATTACACCCGTAAAATTTGAACTACATTTGAAAAACGTAAAGCCACAGGTCATCTTATAAATACTCGTGTACTGCGTTAAAACAAGGCAGTAATGCTCATCTCACAATCAAGTGCGGGATCCTGAGGGATGGCAAACCATCTTGATGCTAACTTATTTAAACTAAAAGGACAGTATGTTCAGTCCAGCCCAACACCCTCTAGTCAGTGACTGATTTTTGTCAGCTAAACTAGATATTCGTTTATTTAAGAGGCAAGTGGTTAAAGAGGATCTTGACAACCAAAGGCCCATAGTTCACCACGCGTTTAGTGATATAACTGATGGGCAAAGAGTCACGGCTCACAAAGCACCGAGTTCTCCAAGGTGAAGTCATAACGAAAGTTGGCTAGTTTGTCATTTATGTTGTGAGGCAAGGTGACATCTGTTACAAAGGGCAGGCCCGCCTGCATGGCCACGATGTGTGGTGCTAAAGTGAAAGGTATGTCTCCTAGAAGCTCAGGGAGGGCCGGGGTGGCGTCTACAGCGTGTGTTTCTGAGGACATCTTGGCAGACGTGGGCTGGGAGGAAGGCCGAGTTGTCTCTGTAATTCCTCTGTTCCCGGCACTGGATGGCTGAACAAAAAGAAAGAGAATCCGCAGTGAAAACTGAGAAACCCGGATCTGTTGAGGAGCAGCACTGTTATTATATTCATCACAGCATGTGTGACTCAACTATTGTGCCATTTACCAAATTGCCACTGTGAGCAAGCTCTTTAAATCCTCATTAATGCTGGTTGAGTTCAGATTTTACTAATTTTCATCAAGGTTGGGTGATATATGTCAGATATCAGTTTATTTATTACTGTTGTGACTGCATGAATGAGTCAATTAATTTTATGATCTATAAAATCTGGCTCATATCAGTACCCCCCAAAAAAGAGCAAAGGCTGCAGCCGCAGAGATGAGAAATCTGGTCTTGTTTGAGGTGGATGAGGAGTCATTACAGGCCTGAAACATCTCGATGAAGGAAGTCACATAAATTGGAGTGAATCATTTAAATCAATGTAAACAATTCTCATTCAACTACAGTTTGGGGTCAGTAAGACTTAAATTAAACTTACACATTAAATTGATCAAAGGTCACAGTAAAGACATTTATAATCTTACAAAAGATTTTTTATTTCAAATAAATGCTTTTCTTTTAAACTGTCCAATCATCAAAAAAAATCTGTTTTCATTGATGATAATAATAAATGTTTCTTGAGCAGCAAATAATCATATTAGAATGATTTCTGGATAATCATGTGACACTGAAGACTGAAGTAATGAAGCTGAAAATTCAGCTTTATATCACAGGAATACATTACAAATTAAAATACATTAAAATAGAAAACAGTTATTTTATATTGTAATAATATTTAATAACATTACTGTTTTTTACTGTATTTTTGGCTTACTGTATTTTACAGCTTTGGTGAGAATAAGACATTTCTTTAAAAAACAAAAAACACAACGTAATATAAATTTTAAATACATTTTACCAACCCCAAACTTTTGAAAGGCAGTGTAGACTGTAAAATGTACAGTAGTTTGTGTGTAGTGGCGTATTAATCAGCTCATAAACACCAGTTATAGACACGGTCATTTCTGTGCTAATTAATTAAGGTCAAATATGACACTAAATGCACAAAGGTTTGTCTGTGATTAAACGAGCAAAGCTTTGAGACTTGAGCTGGTGTGTCTGGTGCTGGTTGTCAGAGTTGTGGAGGTGGTTTCACACTCTTACCTTTCCTGTTTGTCTTACATCAATGCCAAACACATGTCAGACAGAGAATAATAATCTATTAATGTCAGTTATTTACTGTAACATGAGACTGGTACGGGAGAAGCAAAGCAGAGCAGAGAGGGAGAAGCAAAACCCAAATAACTAGCTCAACTGAATAAGGTGGAACTCTGAACTTCCATACAATGAAAGTGGATGTGATTGAAAGCTGTCAAGCCCCGAGGCTAAAGAGCACAATAAATGCAGTCCATATGAGTTGAGCACTATATTCCAAGTGCTTTGAAACCCTATGATGAGAAACAGACTAAAATTTGATTCATTGAAAAAGAGTAGCTAGGACATTCTGTATGAATAGCTGCTTTTGTCTTTCAAGGAAAAAAGTAAATCATAGCAGTCTTGAAAGACGCAAGGGTAAGTAACTGATCAGAATGTTCAACTATTCGTTTAAGCATCTAAATAAGGCTTCTGAATGGCAGCTGTGATAAATTCCACTGTTGTGTAGCTTATAAGACACATTTTGTGGTTCCACTGAGTCCCACAGCTGCTGATTCAACTCTCTGGTCATTTCTGAGAATGTGCTTTTGTGGCGTTTCAACAGCTATCCTGTGAAGTGTCATTTTGTTCCTGTCAATGTTTGTCCATGTTTTGCATGTGGTGTCAGTTTCGTTCCCCTAAAAGTCAGCATGAAATGGAAATTTCAATCATCATCTGTTGCTTATCGTGAGTGAAACAGCTTCTCGAACAAGAAAAAAAATGTAGGGTGGGACTTGATTTTGTCCACTGGGAATTGATTGGATCATCAGATCGATGTTGTTTGCTGATTGCTGCAATGCTTTCATGTGAGTGACAGGTTGTTGGAGGGATTATTGTATTGCTTGATTTCATTGGGACTTCAACACATTAAAGCACTGTGCAGTTTTTGTGGCCAATGTACCTGTATTTCAGGAACTATGTGACCTCCTTGGAACTCGCATAAGTAATTCTTTGGAAATTCACATCTAACTGCAAATTGTCAGGCCTCTTTTTTTATGTGGCTTGTCCATTATTTTGTCCACCTGATTGTAAAATGCACTTTTCCTATTAACAAGTCAACTCCAATAACTGCGAAAGCCCCTCTTATTCAAAAAGAAAGAGTGAGACTGAGTGTCTTTCACTAGCCACATGTCTCCAGGCGGTGCTGTGGAACAGACTGCTGAATGGCAGCAGCACATGTTGGCGCTGTTCAGTCCTGCCACCTGGCACCTGTCACACACCCGCTCAGCCAGCGCAACTCAAGGGGCTCTTTCTCTCTCGTCCAGCACACAGCATATGGGAACCACGCCGGCCCGCTAACACTGATTACTCTATGAGCGATCCTTAAGATTGAATTACTCTCTTCAGGATCAGATTGAAAACGTAACTCGATACACAGCTCAAACAAAGAATGTTTGGATGTTTTATTATTCGCCAGGTCAAAATCATAAGTTTGGAATTTAAAGGGTTAGTTCAAGAAAATTAGCCCATAAATTACTCACCTTCAAGTCATCCTAGGTTTATATGACTTTCTTCTTTCAGACGAATCCAGTCAGTTATATAAAAAATTGTCTTTGATCTTTCAAGCTGTTTAATGGCACTCAGCGGGTGTTGCATGCTTCAGTCCAAAACAAGTTAAATAAAAAGCGCCCATCCATAAAAAAAGTGCCTCACACGACTCCGGGGGGTAAACGTTTTTCTATTTTATATGGATAGAAAAATATCCATATTCAAAACGTAATAATCACTTTAATGTAGCTTGCGCTCACTGTTGTAAACGGAAGCAGTTCCGGGTGGATGACCTCTGAGTTCAGCGTTGCGCATGCGCCGGTGACTCTTGGCTTATATCGAAATCCTCTGACATTCTTCTTTACAAATCCTCGTTTTGTACTTCTAATTAGTGACCGTTGTTTTGTTTTGATCTCTCCCCTGCGTTTCCACGTGCATCACTTCTGAGCGGCGCATGCGCAAAGACGACCTCCATACGTCATCCGCCCGGAACTGCTTCCGTTTACAACAGTGAGCGCTAGCTACATTAAAGTGATTATTACGTTTTGAATATGGTTATTTTTCTTACAAAAACGCACCGATTCGCTACAGAAGGCCTTTGTTCACCCCCCGGAGCCGTGTGCGACATTTTTTTTTAACTTGTTTTGGACTGAAGCATGCAACACCCGCTGAGTGCCATTAAACAGCTTGAAAGATCAAAGACAATTTTTTATATAACTGACTGGATTCGTCTGAAAGAAGAAAGTCATATACACCTAGGATGACTTGAGGGTGAGTAATTTATGGGCTAATTTTCATTTTTGGGTGAACTAACCCTTTAACTAATGTGCAAAATTACTGAAATTATTAAAAACATTTGCGAATAAAGCAAATAAAGTTTCCATCCCATGTATTCAAAAGAACAAAATCCTCACTTTCTGGCTTAGAATGGCTTAGAGGATCAATAATAAAATGAAAGTTGCTGCAACTGGGGAAGACTGTGGCTCTTTTTTCCTACATAATAAATGACTTGCACCAGATGAAATGCAATAAATGCTGTCATGCGGTCTTGCATTCAAATGCTGTCTGTTATGGGTTATGGGAGGTGATTAGGCTATACCAAATGATTTTGATGACAAACTTTGGCTCAAAATTACTAAAATAACATGAGATGGTGTGCATTGAGATAACAGCACTGGTTAGTTCAGGTATCCAATCACATGATCTGTTGAGGCAAAGTCACATGACGTTTTTTGATGCACACTGAGGAATTTATTCAGTAAATTTGTTTCCATAGCAGTTTATGCATTAGTTTATTAATTATCTTATTGGATAAAAAAAAAAAAAGATATATATATATATATATACGACCATGAAGGTGCTGTCAAATTAGTGAATTTTAGCAGGCTAACAAGTCCATTGTCAATAGTGGAGTGATGTGTAAACCAAAGCTCACAATGAAGTTACTTTCAAACCAACAGAGCCTTCTATTGGTCAACACTTAGAATTTGCATGACCAACTTGAACTTTTTCCACATTTCCAGATTTTGTGAATTCCTACTACTGAAATGACTGGATCTTTCCAACTGAAATAATGATAAATGTGATCGCACCTGGAAAGTAAACTAGATGATTCTGACTTATATGTACTACATTTACATTCTTCTGATGCCATGTGATGCCAAAATCTAAGTTATTCACTGATAATTTTCCCCTCCAGTGAACTGCTAACTTGTAAACCTTTGTGACTGGATTAATGAGTTCGTTAATTGTTTGAGTTCGATCTTATGAGCCGGTGCTTTCAATGAACCGGCTGATCCGGTTCACAAATCACACTGAATGATTCTCACTGACTCAGTGTTCCAGTCACGACACAAATTCATGGCGATTCATAACTATTTTACATTTTGGTGAACTGGTGGCTAATTCGTAGAAATTTGTAAATTTTTATACAATCTGCTTATGCCACACTGACGGTTAGGTTTATGGATGGGATTAGGAGTAGACCTTCATGTTTACGAATGTGTATGAATCATACTGTACAAATTCATACAAAATCGCCACCCTGTATAATAGTTTTCTCATGAGATCATGTTGGTAGTTCTTACATTAACAACTCACTGGTTAGGAAAATTATAATTGAATAATGATTTAAATTTCAGTCTCATAGTTAGACCTTGCTATCTGCTTAGGATAATGTATATCAAATAACTGTAAATGTTTGAAGTTTGTGGTTGTAAATATCACTAGGTAGTTGCAGCATTAACGGATCATTCAATAAAGTGAAACAAACTCACATTAGATGGTTGTACTATTACATTTGTTGTGGGCTGCTCAATGTTCATGGACTGAATCTTCTGTGACTGATCCTCAACAGTTTCACCTAAAAAGCAAAAAAATACAAAGAATGAATAATTTTGAAATCAATCAGAGAGAAAGGCGGATTATTCAGCACACAGCGAGCCCCAAAGCCAATCACGGACCCTTCACGGCAACAGCTTGATTTTCAGCAAGAATAATTGATTTTCCTTCGGTGCCAAGACAATAATGTGGATTAACTGCACTTAACAGGGTACTTTTCTGATTACATGAACAGATTATGAAGCATTAGTCCATCAGGGTACTTACAGCCACAATCAACGATGTTACTTGACAGAAACCCGCAACACCTTGGAATCATAACCAGACACTAACAGAACGATGTATGATATTGAAAATGAAACCCAGCCTCTTCCTGTTGCTCCTGAGAATCACAGAGCTGAATGTCTTGGTGAGCGTCTGCTCATCTCTGGGGCCTTCACACACACACACACACACCCACACACACACACCACGGCTCCTCCCTGTTATTGCCAACACCTGCACAAATCAGTCCCTCTGAGATGCTGCCCATTGTTTATGTTCTGAGAAAAAGCTTGTATGACTTGTGTCTAAAGGGGCGTTCACACTGAAAGCGATATAATCACTGGAGGTCACCGGGTCGTGGTATTGGCTGCTAGTAGCCATTCCTCCTGGACTGTAGTTTCCAACTGCATCATGAGGTGGGTCACATACTCTGCTCACAATTCGTTTAAAACTACTATCTTTAAATGCCAACAAATATATAATTTGCTGCAAAATTCTGTCAGTGTGAATTTCTTATAAGACATTCCATACCAAAAGATAGTAGTGATGCACCAAAATAAATTTCTTACCAAAACTGAAAATAAAGCTTCCTTTCATTTAGCTTTTTTTTTAGACGAAAAACAAAACTGAAAATAAAGTTTAGTTTAATAAAGTCTAATGCTGTTATTAATGAGTTATTTCCACTGTTAAAGAGTTGGATTCCCAGGCTAAACATGACCAAAGTTTAAAAAATATATTTTTTATGTGTATAGTACAGTACCAGTCAAACGTTTGGACTAGGGGTGTCGCGATAAACCAGTAGTGACGATAACCGTGATATTCAAATCATGAAATATCAACATTGTGTTAATTTAGGGTGTGACGATATACACCCAACTAGGTGACAACATAGCGTTAAATCACTATTCAACAGACTCAAGCCACCACCGCACTGCCGTCTATTGGACTGCAGAAAGATATTAATTTTCAGTCTGTTACGTTACTGACTGTACTGAGAAAGTACTTCCTGACTTAGGAAATGTGAAGTGACCGATGTGATAAGCATGAGTGACATGGCAGTTTTAAGGGACGGGGTTAATGTTATATTGGACTTGTATTGAAAAGGGAAACTTTTTTTCACGCAAGTGCTCGTGACTCTCTTACTCTTAGCTCGGCTGGGAAAAAATTGTAAAGCTGTATCTTTATTTTATAAGTATGATAAAACTAAAGACTCTTTGGAGATATGAAGGATGCAACACTACTCTATAGGTACTCAAGATTAACATGAGATTGCGTGAAACTGTTATGTCCCCTTTAATTTGGTTGTACTGGACAATATGGCACATTATGTTGGGCGATTTTTTTAAACATGCTCTTCTGGAATGTGCTATATGCTTTAATAACTATTGCAGTGAAACAAAGGAGAGCACATGGACACATTTACATTTAGGAGCCATGTTCATTGAATTCATTCACCAGAGGTAATTATTGTAAATTGGTAATTAGGGTATATTAAACCTAATCAAACAACAATGTTAGGAAGACAAAACAAAAAACTTCTCACCGCTATTGCCTGTATAACTTTAGCTGTAACACATACAATTTCCAAGAGCACTAAATCTGTATTTATCATATTTTATCACTCTTAATATTTCTTTGCACTGTCCATGTTGTCATTGTTGCCTTTTAATCTTCAAATTTTACAGTCAAAGTGTGAACATAGGTGGTCCTGGGACAGGATGAAATGGATAAATGCATGTGCCGAATGCAGTCGACTGCTTTAAGACGTGAGCTATAACATGCAACACAACAAACTGACCCTGCCTTCACTAAGTTCCCACCTACCTTATAGCAACTGCTGCTATTTTACAAATCACATATGGTCAGTATCATTTGCACTTCAAAGTCAAAAGCAAGGAATATCTTTCCCCAAGAGAAGCGGATATGTGGCACAGATAAATAATGCAACGTAAGCCTATATAGTCTCCCTTATGTGCTGTCAGCAAAATCACCGCAGCCTCGTCACCCGGACTGAACCACAAACCCAGGTCAAATGGGCCTGGTCTAATGTGCTGGAGGCGATCCACTCACAACCACATGCACCTGATGATACACAAGTCAATGATATTACAGACGACTAATTGTCAACTGCAATTCCATTCATGCAGGAAAAAATAACTGAACTTGCTTTAAAAAATCTGCTGCGATTCCTAAAAATTTCAGACCATCAGTTCACTTTAAGAATAAGGTAGTTTCATAACCAAACCATATTTAATGCTCCAAACAGGACCAACAAGTGTAGCCCTCTGCTGCAGCCTGAGAAAACGGTTTTCTCCATTTCTGGTTGAGCCAGAGCACTTGAATCCTGCAGTCATGCTTGGGTTGAGTTCATTTCTACTAGAGCCCGACCGATATATCGTTTAGCCGATATTAACGGCCGATATGAGCCTGTCACCGATATATCGGTATCGGTGAATATGCCGCCTTTACGCCGCCGATATTCAATTTTTGTTTACAGAACATATGACGCAGATAAAATGCTTGAAATGGTGTAATTACTTAGTTTGTTCAGCAGAGCGCGCTCCATTGTTTGCTACTGGACCCAGGTCAGTGTAGTGTAGAGATTCGCGGATGAGCTCAAACTTCACCCGAGTCCGCTGCTTCAAATTATCTGCCCGTCACCCACCCGCACCTATATTTGATCGTCACATTACAATGATTCTAATTCGTTGTTTTGCATGATGATATGATGAATGGATGGTTCATTTTAACAGCAGATTCAGTGACGTTAGACTAGAGCTGATCTGCGCTTCACGGCACGCATCTGCGGCGCATTAAAGCCTGTGTTACGGCCACCGGCGGCCACTCAATGCTGGTGTTTACCGGCCACACCTAGGCCCAGAACTCATGCTTATCACATCGGTCACATCACATCGCACGGCGCGACAAAATACAATAGAATTCTATTGTATTTTGTCGCACCGCTCGTGTCCGGTGTAGCCTCGTTCCATTTATGACGTGCTGACAGAAGTTCAAATGATTTTCAACGGTCGATTTGTCGCGTTCTGTTGCAGCCGCAGACACAGTGTCAGCACAGTTTGTCAGTACAGTCAGTAATGTAGCAGATTTAAAAGTTAGTATCTTCCTACAGTCCAATAGACGGCAGTGCGGTGGTGGCTTGAGTCTGTTGAATAGTGATTTAACGCTATGTTGTCACCTAGTTGGAGAGACTCAATGCTAAGTAAATAAACATCAATGTCCCCGTCTTTTACTCGCACAATGAGCTTATCATACTCGTTTGCTACATTAGTAGGGCCCTATGATTTGCGCGATGCAGAAAACATGGACGGAATCGTGGAATCCAGTAATAAAAACGGAATTTACTGTATAACGCGGAATTTCATGGAATTTGTCTTATTTTTGATGAATAAATAAAAAACAGGTAGTACATATATATATATAGTCTGTGTCTGTGAATATTAAACTGCAAAAAGACGATTTAAATATGAATGTCCTGCATGTTCATTGGATTACCAGAAAATACATAACACAGAGTTTGTGAAAAAAATATG